AGTCAGAGACCTGAGTCTTAAATGCTGAGATGGCATACACTCACTAGGGGGTCCTAGGGCAACTTAATCATTCAACTCGAGTGCCTATGTTTCCTTTCTGGAAAGTGGGAAAAAAAGCAGCACACATCCCATGGGGCTGCTGTGAGGATTTAACAGGAGCCTATGATAGGCTCTTTGAAGTACAGAGATCCAGGAAAAGTAGGAGAGAGTAGGTGTAGAAAAGACAATTCAGACAGTTCAAGCAGGTATCAAATGGAGCCCAAACCCTCGCGAGGACAGAACAGGTCACTGTACTCCAATCTGAGAAGCAATACAGAGCCTTGTACAGTCCTTGGAGCTAAGACCTGCCTGAAATCAAGCATTGCTCCGATCCTCACTATCATCCTCACTAGCTCTAAACAAGATACCATCCCTCGATAGTCATCAGCTTCCGAAGTCTGCAAAGTGAACATTATTGGATCTACCTTACAAGAGTGTTGAGAATTAAGAATGAACTAACGCATGTAAAGTACTTAGGAAATTGTCTGGATAATGACATGCACGTGTGTCTACCTGGGGAAATACAAACTGGTCAATGTAAATTTAATAGGAGAAAAAATAATAGAACAATCATCAAATTACTTTCCATCACTCTGAGGAGTTCTTGATATGGTATAACAATTCTAGTTGGATTTCTGAACAAACAAATGATGTCAATGTCAGACCAATGTAATTCTTTTTCTTTGAAGAATATTAGACTGGGTAGGTAAGAGGAAAGTAAAAGATTGAATACAGGTGAATTAGCTGGGTTTTCTATTGGTCTCCATGATGTATCTATCTCTAGGTTAAAAAAATTGTTTAGAGCATCAAATCCCGCAAAGAGTGTTTATAGAAAGTTATTAAGTGTTCCACAAACAATTAAGTTTGGGAAATGCTGGGTAAAATGGCTAACTTTACAATAGTATTCTCTAATGTTTTAAATAAAAGAATGTAAATAGTTAACAGTCAGTAAAGGGAATAACATTTTCCAAACTTATTTGACCATGAAATTTTTCTTAAAAATTGTAGAACATAGTTTAGGAAGCAGAAGTAAAATGATATTATATTATCTTTCTTAGAGCTGTAGCTCCTAAAGAGTGATTATTAAGTTTCTGGCATCTTTTCACATAAAAATATCACCTGGTATTGCACAGGGATCAGAATTTAAAGAACTATTGCTTGATGCTTTTATTCATAAACTGGACAATAGGAATCAAGAGATTCATGATTAAGCATGAAGTTGGGGAGATTTGCTACCTATTTGGAAGACTGAAATGAAATTCAAAGGACATTCAAAATAGAATTCTATCGAAGATAGAAGGATGATCCATAGGAAGAAAAAATCATGTATTCAGATAAAACATCAGCTTTGTAGAAAAATAAAGATGAGATTTTGATACACATCTATATAACTTAAAAATACCAAGAACACAAACTGGGTCTTAAATAAAGAGCACCATGAGCAGGAATATTACTACAAGAATTATGACTTCTGCCTCTGCCAAGTCTGTTGGAGTGGAATGTATGGGGAACTGTGATGTGTTTCCTAGATTGGGTGGCTATTTTTTAGAGCATTCTTTTCTCCCTGTGCTACAATCTCTTTCACAGAAACCTCTGAGGAGCTGTAGCAGAGCTCAGGGCCTCCCATGGTGCATACTCCCAGCCAGGCCCCAATTCAAGGTGCCTCAGAGTGTCTTTGGAGGTGGATCTTATGATTTACTGACTTGATGAAGGCCTCTTGGTTATCTTGCTGAGAGTACGTAGAAATTCACCTTCCTATTCCAAAATTATCATGATTGCTTGAAATTCAGCTGAATCCAGAGATTATCCCACAAGGGTGTTATTTCTAAACCACTGAGGAGTTGATGTTAATAGATCAGAGGTGAGAGAAACTCTGTTGTTACTTCTCAGGCTTGACATTCCTGTTTAAATAGGGACACTTAGGATGTGCCATGACCTAATAAAAGAGGATGACTTGGAAGGCAATTAGAATTGTGAGCTTATGTGTGTGTGTGTGTGTGTGTGTGTGGTGGGGGGAGGTGGAGTCACACGTGGATATGAAGGAAAGTCAATATGAAATGAAAATTGTAATAGCCCTAGAAGCCCTGTATTGGGCATAAAGTACCACACTAATAAATAAGAGGACCTCTAGGGCAAGCAAAAAGGGACGAAAGATGAACATCTATGTAAAAGTAAAGTTGGTGATGATTAGTACAGAGAAGAAAAGAAACTGAGCTCAATGTAGTTTTTTATTACATATAGAGAAAAAGAAATAGTTGGAAATTTGTAGACAATGAGAACACTAAGAAATAATTTCTATAGCAATGAAACCTGCCCAATCATGGACAAGTTGGCCTCATGGAAAAATCTTAAAAGTAAGGTTATTTCTGAACACTTATTTTGTGACAGGTGTTATGCGAAGCATATTTTATGCAATGATTTGGTCAATTTTCTCAAAACTCCTGAGATAGGAACTGATATTGTCCTTACATTACAGATGAGAAACTGAGCAGTGGAGAGATCAGTTTACTTTTTCAAGGTTAGACAGCTAGTGAACAGATAAACTGGGATTCGATCTTGGAACCTGTATATTAAACCTCTAAACTATTCTCTTCACTTGGATGTTTCAAAGCACAGTGTGATATGTCAGAGACTTAGTTTAAGCATTTATTTACATTTTAGAACTGGACCAGGGTGGGCAGATTATCTCTAAACATCGTTCAACTAATTTCAGCCCTGAGGGTGGAAACATTGAATTCAAATTTGACTGATGTATCCCTCTCTCATTTCCCTCTTTTATTTTTTCTTTTATTTTTTTTTTAAAGATTTATCTATTCATGCATACAAGAGCTAGGGTATAGGCCAGAGATGCAGGGGGTGAGAGGATCTGCCAGAGACAGAGTGGGGAACAGAACAGGCAGACTGACTGAAATACACTGCTGAGGGGAGCAGTGGGCGAGACAGGAGAGGTCTGCCTCGCCATGTGGGTTTCTCCCAGGCTGGCTAGGGAGTGAACTCATGCTGCAGAGGCTGTGGATTGCTTCATAATGTGGTATTTAGCCTCTCATGCCACCAGGAAGGCCCTCATTTCCCTCTTTTAATAGTTGGGAAGTCTAAAGTTGAGAGAAAGTCAGCAAAAATTAAAGGGTGACTGGACAGTGGAACCTACAAGGAAAATCGAAGAGGTTGCATGCCTCTGGCCAGGGAGTTTTTTTGGTGATCAGCAATATGTAAAAAGCTAGGGAGAGGCAGATCATTTCTATAGAAATTATAACAAGAAATCCATGGCAGTAAAAAGGTGTGGCTGCCACTAGAATGGATTCCCTGTGAAAATGTCTGGAAATAAATAAAAGACTTTGAAGCACAGCTATGGGTAGAAGAACAGGGTCATGTTAAAATAGAAGCTCAGGCTTCACAGCAGCCCACCCCAGCTGCCTATCTGGTACCCTTGACAGGTTGGGGTGTCCTGAAAATGAGCCAGAAGGCCAGGGAGGACTGTGAAGATCATCTTCCCTCCTGTTCCACTAAAGAGGCAGCCAGCACTGAAAGTGAAATCTGATCCATTTTCATTTTGGAAAACCTTTAAACTAAATTTGACAACTGTGGCAATGGGGATTCTTAGGGAGCCAGCCACAGGGCATCAAAACAAATAGCCTCATGAGATTCCTACTGAATCTGTGAGTCTATAGTCCTCAGCAATGGAACAGAGCCCACATAGTCCCTGTTAATAAAATCACCTTGAAAAATCAACATTTTTGCTCAACAGAGTTTAATGTATTAATTTTAGGAACTAGACTGTCAGTTTTTTCTTAACACAGAAAGAAACTGAATACTCTTACAAAGAGGGATTTTTTTTTTAACCTTTTGAAGGGATTTTTGTTCTGCTTCATAGAAGTTTTATCATAATTTCATACCCCCACACTCCATGGCTTGTTACTTGGTCCATTACTCTTATATTTAACTTGATAAGGTCCTGGTTCCTGTGATATTCATTTTTCAGGTTTTCGTTTCTCACAGCTGCTGCTTTGAAGTTCCTGATAACATTCTTAGCTTTGCAAGGAGCCTGTGGCTTTTCAGGTTCTCATTCCCTGCCGTTTACCATCCTGCTGCTTCTGTTACTTCTCACCTGAGTGGTTATATTTTCAAGCTCACCCTTTCTCTACTTTTCAAAGAGGGTGATCTCTGGGCTTTTGCAAGTGGTTGATCAGTCCCTCTGTGGAATTGGGCAACTGCTGCTAAAAATGGCCATCTCTCCAGCATGCCAGAGGGTGTTTCCCTCTGGATGGTCAGAGATTTCCGGGGTCACTCACATGAGTGGTTATGGGGCCTCTCTCCTGCCTCCTGTGAATGCAGATGATGTCTGTGCTCTTCTCAACTGCACACAAATATCCCTCTTCTTCAGATGGTACCCACATCCCTGCTATGATCTTGCTAATGGCAGCCTCTATTGTCAGGACACATCAGGCATGACCTCAGCTGTTATGATTTGGAAAATGTCAATTACTTCACTGGACAAAGTTAAGCCTTAGCTAAAATTGGAGAGGGAACAATCTTCTGGACAAAGCAACGCTCAGGTTACCTGGTATGGGGCATGGGATGGTAAACATTTAGCGAATTTTGGTATGTTATTTATGCTTAACATTAAGTTAGAGTTGGGAATTTGAATACCTTTGACATAGGAAATTAATTTGGGGGAGGAAAAACAGCACCTCCTGTTTAACCCACTTGCAAATAATTGCTCCCTTGATTTCCATTATTTCCCAACACATTTAATGTGAATGTTGGGAGACTGAAGTTAACAGCTGATCCAAGTGCTGAAATGTGCTTACATGTGAAGTGGTAAAATAGGGATAAGAGCTTTAGTTGCATTTTGCAGAGGAAGGGAAAAATAGTAGAGGAGTAAAAGCATAATTGCAAGTGAAATTGAGAGGAACTATCAGCTCATCGTGCACAAAATACGGTGTTACCGAGCAGTTACTCACAGGTATTTGCAGTGCCTTTGGGGATGGGGAGATACGAGCCTGCACTCCAAGGTCGGCCCTGATAATTCTTCTTGCATTTCCCACAGTCTGGACCTGTAGTGTTGTGTTCACATTCACAGGTCAATTTGCTGTTGTCATACACACACACAGTGGCATGGAGGTTACACTTGCACCTGGGCAGAGAGAGATAAGAGTTCATTGTAAGTCAAGTTGGTCTTAGTCATCGAGGTTTTGCTCGTCTGTTTTCTGGGCTTGGGCTCTCACACCTGCAGGCTGGAGTGCTACCTAGAGGCTCTTTGCAGACCTTCACAATTGTTCTCAGAAATATCTTAGAGGGCATGGGGTGGTAGTGATGGAAGCTCTCCTCCTTCCACACGCTGTCATTCGGTTGGGTGAGGGTCTGAATTGCCCACAAGACAACTGTGTTGTGAAATCAAGGGCTTCCCAACAGGAATCCATAACATTGCCACTGGAGAGAGGTTTTTCTGTGACATTGTTGGATCCATGACAGTTTCATCTGGGTTTGGAGAACAATGTTCTATTCTGTTTTCCCTTAGAAAAACAATTCTTCTTTAAGAAAGAGAACAATTAAAACAATTTGCTACTCAGACTTATTTTTCTAGATCCCAAGAGTTATAATCAGTGTTCTCATTCTGGGTTCTAAAATGACATTTTCTCAGATCAGAAGAGTTTTTCTACATGGTTTCTAAATAACGTAAATAGTCTTCAGATTTCCTTCCCATAGCAAATAAGGTCACCAGAAAGCTCTCTCAGAAATGGGTCAAATGACTCAGATAAAAGATGCTTAGAATCCTAGAAAATAGAAACCTGTATGTGGCAGGGGTTTGAAGTCATTAGCAAAGGCCTTCTCTTTGGTGCTGGTGGATAAAGCTGTGATATATGAGAGGCAACAATGGAATATGCAATTTGAGCAAAAATGCATTCCTATAGCCAAAGTCTTTGATGATAAAATTGCAAGGGCCAGATAGATATTTGTTGAGGCAGCAGGTTATAAATTACAACAAAGCAAGCACAGGCTGCATCCCCTGAAAAAGTAAAACCAGGTTGACAGAAGGACTGTGGCAGAGGTCAGTCTGCAGGGCAGGATGTGTTTCCACAAAGGAAAGGACTCAACACCCATCTGGGGATAAAGGAGCAAGATCAGTTGACTGAGACCCAAAAATGCTATCTGTGGGTGGTTTTTTTTTTTAAGATTTATTTTTATCTATTTGTGCATACAAGAACTGGGTGCAGGCCTGAGGTGCGGAGTGGTGAGAGCGTTCACCAGAGACAGAGTGGGGAGCAGAACAGACAGATCCACTGAAATACACTGCTGAGGGTAGTAGTCTGCGTCACCATGTGGGTAGTTCCCTGGTCAGGGATCGAACTCATGCTACAGTGGCTGTGGATAGCTTGATAGTGCTGAGACTTTAACCCTATGCCACCAGGGAAACCCTGTGTGTATTTTTTTAAATAAGTCTGATCTCTTCCAGGTAGTAGGACAAAAATATAGAAAGTCAAGTTTCATAAAGACCAGCAGATAATGTGGTGTTTGTTACATTTTGAGGCAGATGTAACTAAAGTTGGTTTCTGCACAGCAATACCCAAATATCTCTCTTGCACATTGATGATCTGTTAGGACCATTGACCCACACTGACGGCAAGGATGCAAGGGAGAAGCTAAGTCTATTACTGAGGCTGCTGGGCTTTCTTAACTGCAAGGTGTGGTCCCTAAAGCAGTGGCCCCTGACTCCAATCTCCCTGGGTAAGCCCAATTCTCAGATTTTTTAGGGGTCAACTTCAATTTATAACCTCTGCCTTCTGGATAGTTATAAATTAGAACACACCAGAAGGCTACTATTTAAACAATACCTATTCAAGTTAGACATGTTAAATATTTTTTTACAATTTAGCATTTGTACAATCTTTTAAAAAGATGAGAAAAATAAATCAGATCAGCGAAATATACAACATTTAATTATGAGCTAGGTCTGGCAATAACCTCCTCTATGCAGGGAGTTACTTGTGTTAAGTTACCTATTAAAGAATCAACATTAGCACTTTTATTTATGGGTGTGTTTATATATAGGGAGGATGTTTGAAACCTAAGTGATAGAAGCACCAGCTTACACTGATTTGGCATCCTACCTGGTGTTAAAAATTCTAAATGAGGAAATGAACAACATGACCCGAGCAGTACGCCGGTCTCATGTGTGAAGACAAAGAATGCAAGTAGTAATTGTGAATTTGATTCTATATCATGTAACTGTTTCTTTCTTATGTAGTCACTGTCTCAGTTACAGGCAATGTCCATCATAAATACTTTATTTCAACTGAGAAAATATTCTTGAGTGACAAGAATGTTTATCTTATTTTTCTTGGCTTTCTTCTAATTAATGACTCATCCTCATCTGTCCAAAAGCTTATTAATCATTCAGGGCTCAACTCAATTTGTAATTTCTCCTTAAGTATCGGAGACACCCAAGGTTCAACAATTCTGATTTCCTTAAATGCGTCTTTGTGTTTGATTTGATTTATTGTTATTTAAAGATATTTGTGTTTTTAAAATGCTTATTTGTTACATAAGTTGCTCCCATCTTACCAGTGGAAGACACACACCTGGTTCCCCAGCTACCTCTTTAAAACTCTCCTGTTTCCCTCACCTCTCACTCACTCACTCACTCTTTCTAACTGACCACTACCTTCTCCCCCTGACACTGTCTGGCACTGCTGGATTCTCAAGTTCATTTTCAGAACCCTCTTCTGTGTGTTCTTGGGGTTCTGGCTTAGCATAGTCAGCCTTAATGGGGCTCCTTGGGCACTATTATCAAAGTTATCTCTTCAATGTCCTCTGTGATCCTTTACTGCCTTTGAGTTATAGTCCTTTTAAAGAAAATTTGCATCATTTTTTTTCCTTAGACAAAACTGAACGTACAAAGTAAGCTCAAACATTTGAAAACACTTTAGGAGATTCAGAGACCCTGTAACCCATAAGGATTCATGTAACCTCCTCCCTCCATCACCACCAAGTGAAAATTTTGTGATAAACATATTGGGAAGTCCTAGACCTAAATATCCATCAAGGATCTCTCTCCTGGGCTTCAGATTTATTAATTGAAATGCTTCCTGACAGGTTAAACTCAACACATCCCAAACTGAATTCTTTGGCTTCCTTTCCCTACTTAATTCTCCATCTGTATTTTCTCAGTAAACTGACTACTTTCCAGCCACTTGACCAAGAATACTGCTCCGTCTTCCTTTCCTATCATATCTAATCTGTCATCACTCTGTCTTTCTCCAGGTTCTGAGATTCCTCCTTCCTGATATTCCCAAATATATACAGTTCTAGCCGTGGCCACTTCCCCAGTTGAGATCATCATCATTTTTGATCTGATTTATTACAAGGCTTCTAGACAGACATGACTGCCTCTAAACCATGCTCCTCTCTAGCCCCATCTCAACACAGCAGTGAAAATAAACATTTGCAGAAAAATATCTGGGTCATTTATGACTTAGAACCATTGAAATATTCCCCACTATCCTCATAATAGAGTCCAAGCTCTGTAACATGACCTACAATTCCCTCTGAAACCTATTCTTGTTCATTCCATGGCCTCATCTACACCACTCTATATTCAGTTCTATAAATCTCACCTTCAGGAAATCTTAAAAGCTGTTCCTTCTGCCCAGAATAATCTATTTCCTACCTCACCTCTTTTACCAGGATAATTCTTACTATTCAAAAGTCAACTTGCAAATTTCAGTCTGAGGCTCCTAGTTGACATCCAAGAAGTATCTGCTGATCAGCTATCAGAGCCACTGAGACACCTTTCCTTACATGCTCCTCGGACACTAGGCAAAACCATCACAGGCAAAAACCTGTACCCTTTCCTCTGTACATAGAGGCTATACTGTCATTGCTTTTTCCTCTGTCACCTTCACTGGAATGTAAGCTCTTGGGAGCAGCAGTCTTGTCTGCTTTATATACTGTAACATCCCTCACACATTTCAAGTTAGTTGGCCCATAAAAGGTGCTAAAAAATACTTGATGAATAAACAAAAGCAAGTAAACTCACTGGAAGAAAACACTACATGGGTCTGTTCTACTGAGTCTAGCATGATAGTAGGCTAAAAATAGACAATTAATAGGCATTGTACTGAATCAAACACTCCATGATGGGTGTCATTGACTGTCACGTTGCCTCATCATTGGTTTTCATAAGTAACACTTTATTGGGCAAAGGGAACTGTACAAAGTTGGTGAGACCTTGTACTACCAGATGAATTTAGTTTACATATCAGAGGATTTTTCAGACACCTGAAAGCTAACACAAGGGCTATGGTGAATCAATGCTTGAAGAACTTAAGAACACAGCTTGGAGAGGGAAAACACAGAATTTGCTCAGTCTGATTATTCAAGAATGTGCATCCATTAGCTATAATTCCTCATGCAGTGATGACTATCCTGGTTTAGTTGAAATTTGTGAAGCATTGCTTGGGTTCTGGCCAGAACTCTAATTTCTCCAGTAGTGTATTTGCTGACCTAGTTCAGCTTCCTGGCTGGCTTTCCTAGGTCATTGTGTCACTGGGCGTGCAAAGGATAAGCATGTGAACGTGGGGGCTGAGTTCCCTTTACATTGGCCTGTGTTTGGAAAGGGCTCCATTCCACTTTCCACAACTCGGTGTATTCTTATCACTCCATTCCCTCAGATGCTAAAATCCTTTATTTAAAGCCCTTGCCAGAGTGACTTCTCCATCGGAGAAAAATGGATTTCACGGTGCAGAGTGATTGCTCTCAATTCCTAGTGTTATGACCTCAGGCCTGGTGCTAGGTGGAGGACAGGTTTCCATGACATCTACTCATCTCTGACAGATTCATTATCCACTTCCATGGCCATCATGCTCCCACGCCCACCCTCATATTAGGCGGGGGAGGAACTGTGCAAGTAGAGACCTAACAGGCTTCACTAGCACCCAGATATCTGATGTTGTGGAGGGCGGAACCTAGTCTCTGAATCTGTTTACACACACAGAACTCTCACTACCACTGCGGAACTAATTGACTTGCTTCTACCATCAAGATCCAGTGGGGTGCAAGTGACAAACTGTATGCACTGTCACATAAAGGCGTCGCTAAGACAGACTGGAAAAAAACCTGCAAGTTCTATTCTGT